TGACCCCCAGAGAGCCCTGCCATGAAGCTGTGCGTAAGATGTCAGCCTCCCAGCAAACACTAACGATGGGATCCCTCGTCACCACCACAACTATGACAGCAGCAATAATGAAGGGAGAGGGCAGAGAGGGAGGGGAATTGAAAAAGGGAGGGGCCAGGGAGAGAGTACAGCGAGTAGGGCACTTGCCTTGTGAAGCCGACCCGAGTTCAGTCCCTGGCATCCCACATGGTTCCCTGAATACCACCAGGACTGATCCCTGAGCACAGAGCCAGGAGTAACCCCTTAGCACTGCTGGGAGTGGCCCCCAAAAGAAGAAAGAAAAACTGAAGGGCCAGAGAGATGGCACAGTGGGCAGCGCACTTGCCTTGCATGCAGTCAACTTGGGTTCAATCCCCCGCATTCCCTGTAGTCCCCGAGCATCGCCAAGTATGCCCCCAAACAAACAACAACAATATAAAGACGTAAAGCCTGTCTGCTTGTCCAACCCAGGTCACCCTGAGAGCACATGAGAGAGGCGCTCTGGAAGGGCCCCCCTGAAGCTAGAACACGGACTCCCCGCCAGGAAGTTTCTCTGGCGCATGTTTGTCTGGCCTGAATTCTGTTGCTCTTTCATTTCATTTCGTCCTCCCCCTTTTTTTGGAGGGGGGGATCTCACCCACCAGTGGCCAGGGCTTCCTTTGGCTCTGCACTCAGGAATTACTCCTGGTGGTGCTCGGGGACCAGATAGGATGCCGGGGATCGAACCCTGGGCAGCCGGGTGCAAAGTAAACGCCTCCTGTGCTGTGTCCCTAGCCCATGTTGCTCCTTCATTTTTCAGAGCAGAGACCGAAGGTTGAAGTGACTCGGGCCCAAGGTGGCATCAGTGCAGAGATACACGGAGAATGTCACCTCCCGGCTCACTGCCAGCACTTGGGGTGGGTTCTGAAGAGCAGGAGAGATTCGCCTTAGACCAAAGGCTCTTGGGCTTCCTCCCTGCTCTTCTGGACCTGAACGAGAAACCAGTTCTATAGAGTTGGTGCTGTTCGGCTGTCGGGGAAACTTCAGACTCAGCATTGGCCACTTGGGGTGTGTTTTCCTTGTGTTTTTAACCCTGATTCTCCTCCTTTCCTTCCTCTCTCCCCATCGCTCCCACCCCCCTTTTCAAATACACACCCAGCGGTGCTCAGGGCTTACTCCTGGCTCTGTGCTCAGGGATCTCTTCTGGCGGTGCTTGGGGGGCCCTCTGGGATGACAGGGATCGGAACCGGGACCACGGCTTGCAAGGCGACCCCCCTCCCTGCTGTGCTGTCACTCTAGCCCGTGATTTCTCTTTGTCATGGCAGAGTTTAGGCTGCACACTACACAGAAACCAAAGCGACGATAGAGCTTAGACATGTCCTTGCCGGCTAGTTACAGTCACGCGGCGACTGTTGGAGAGATGTGTGGCCTGGCCAGTGTGTCCCAGGCAGGCCAGCTGGACACAGGAGCCGGCTAGTAAGCTGGGGTGCTCAGCCCGCTGCTTCAGTGTGTGGTGCCTCAGTTTCCCCTTCTGTGAACCGGAGGATCGCAGCCCCGACCCACGGCCTGGAAACACTTAGTCCCAGCCCTCAACTCTCCACCCGAGCCTTGGCTCTGAGCCTGCAAGGAGTGAGGGCGCAATAAATTCTAGCTTTAAGTGTAATTCAGGGTCTCTAAATGAATTAGGAATGCGCCGGAGGGAAATGGAACCTACCGTTGGGGGTTTTCCACCCGTGGGGAGGGGGGCTGGCAAAGATCGGATTACATCTGGAGCCCCTGCCACAAACCACATGGATTCGGGGAGAAATCTGGTTTCTGTTACAGCGACGTGAAGAGTGCGCAGGCATCGGGCGGGCTCAGAGGCCGGTTCTCACGCAGCAGGGAGACGCGGCCACGTGGAGGGGTGTGGGGAGGGGCGCATGGAGAGGGGTGTGTGTGGAGGGGCTCGTGGAGGGGTGCGTGTGGAGGGGCGCAGGGAGGGATGCAGGGAGGGGCGCGAGGAGGGGTGTGTGGAGAGGCTCGTGGAGGGGTGCATGGGGAGGGGCACACGAGGAGGGGTGTCTGGGAGGGGTGCGGGGAGGGGAGCGAAGGGAAGAGCCCGCCCAGGCCACAGCCTCCTGCTCCAGGGGGCAGAAGGTTCCCGAGGTGGGAGCACTGTCGTGTGCTCCCTCGCCTCCCCTCTTTCTTCTCTTCCTTCTGCCGACCCAGGTGTCTGGGTGCCTCTGCCTGACCCGTGCTGGGAGACACAGCGGGGCCCTGTGTGGGCGAGACTCCCACGAGGAAACTGAGGCCCAGAGAAGGCACTGAAGCCACCCTGGCCCCTCACCCCATCAGAGTGCAGTCCCTAAGGTGACGCCAGCTGGGCCAGGCACCTTCGGGCGAGGCTGGTGGCCCTGATGTGGCCCAGGGTCCTCCTGGGTCAGCTTTAATGCGAGGACAGTAGTGGGCGTATCCATGGGCCTTGCTCAGATAGGCGGCGAGCAGGTGCCAGGGTGCCCGGACTCCTGGCACCCCAACCCCCAGTTTCAATCCACTTTCCCCTTGAGAAGCAGGGGGAGGTGGGGGTGCTGATTCCTGAGCGCACCTTTCTCCAGCAACTGACTTTTGGTGTCCTGGGCTGGTCTAGAGAGCCCCGGGGGAGGGCCTGAGCATGCCCTTGGCCAGGGTCCAGGGTGAGGTGGAGGGGTGGGCAGAGGCAGTGCTCACTGGTCTGTATGGACTCAGTCCCCTGCCCTGAGCGATGCCAGTGCCAGCGGGCCTGGCCCTCTGTGAGCTGGCCCAAGCAGATCTGCCTGCCCCCTCCCCCGGAGGCTCACCCTCTGCCCCCTCGCCCTGCACTACCTTTGGGGGGATATGAGGCCTTCTCCAGAAGGTCTTAGTGGCAGGCATGCAAGAATAACAAACTCGTCTCTGCTCCCGAACCCTGCACAGTCTGACCTGCAGGGGGCGGTGCAGAGTGCTGCGGGGCTGCCATCCCCTGTCTGACCTGTAGGGGACAGTGCTGAGCGCCGGGGGGGGGGGGGAACCTGCCGACCCCCGTCTGACCTGTAGGGGGCGGTGCCGAGCGCGGTAGGGCTGCCGCCCCCTGTCTCGGACCGCGAGCGACCGCACGGCCTGGTGGGGCCCTGGAGCACCGCCCGCCCTCGGGCCCTCCCACTCAGCACAACGCCTGACCTACTTAGTAAACTTCCAAGAAAATTGGGGGGAGGGGAGAATGAATGGAAAAGCCCCCAAGCGACCCCGTCCTCCCGAGGACACGGGCTGGGGGACACGGGCCGAGGGGACCCGCCGAGGGCGCGGGCCGGGGGACCCCCGAGGGCACGGGCCTGGGGACACGGGCTGGGGGACCCGCCGAGGGCATGGGCCTGGGGACCCCCGAGGGCACGGGCCTGGGGACCCCCGAGGGCACGGGCCGGGGAACCCGCCGAGGGCGTGGGCCGGGGGACCCGCCGAGGGCGTGGGCTGGGGGACCCCCGAGGGCACGGGCCGGGGGGACCCCCGAGGGCACGGGCCGGGGGACCCGCCGAGGGCACGGGCCGGCGGACCCCCGAGGGCGTGGGCCGGGGGACCCCCGAGGGCACGGGCCGGGGGACCCCCGAGGGCACGGGCCGGTGGACCCCCGAGGGCACGGGCCTGGGGACCCCCGAGGGCACGGGCCGGGGAACCCGCCGAGGGCGTGGGCCGGGGGACCCCCGAGGCCGTGGGCCGGGGGACCCCCGAGGGCACGGGCCGGGGAACCCGCCGAGGGCGTGGGCCGGGGAACCCGCCGAGGGCGTGGGTCGGGGGACCCCCGAGGCCGTGGGCCGGTGGACCCCCGAGGGCACGGGCCTGCGGACCCCCGAGGGCGTGGGTCGGGGGACCCCCGAGGGCACGGGCCGGGGGACCCGCCGAGGGCATGGGCCTGGGGACCCCCGAGGGCGTGGGTCGGGGGACCCCCGAGGCCGTGGGCCGGGGGACCCCCGAGGGCACGGGCCGGTGGACCCCCGAGGGCACGGGCCGGGGGACCCCCGAGGGCACGGGCCGGGCTGCTCCGCAGGCGCCCGCTCCCCGCCCGCCCCCCGCCCGCCCGCCAGGCGCAGAGCCGCGCGTCCCCGCGACCCCGCGGCGTCCCTGCCCCCTGCCGCGGCCTGGCCGCTGCCGCCCTGCCCAGCCGGGGCCGGAGACGCGCCAAGAGGGTCTGCAGCGCCCGCTGGGAAGCCCCGCGGCTGCGGCTAGCGTGGGAGCCGCCCCGGCCCGGCCTGCCGATTCCTTTCCTGCCGCCGGGCCTTTTGTGAACGCTTCCCTTTTCGCTTGCAGTGAGTTCTGCTCTCCTGTAGGCTACAAAGTGTCGGTTGTTATAAAATCCGGGGGGCGGAGCCTGCTGACGAGGCGGCGGGGGGAGCTGGCAGCCCCGCGGGCGAGCAGTCCGGCCTGGGCTCCGCCGGCTCCAGCCCCGCCGCCGGCTCCAGCGCGGAGCTCAGCCCCCGGCGCGGCGAGCGGAGGGAGGGAGGATGCGACACGACCGGCCCTTTGGCAACCTGACCACCTCCCCGGACCAGCCTCGCGGAGCCAGCTGGGGGCTGCGTGCTGACCGGCAGGCGCCAGCCTCGCGGATGTGTGTGTGTGCGGGTGTGTGAGTGTGTGTGTGCGTGCGTGCGTGTGTGTGAGTGAGGGTGTGTGCATGCCTCCAGCCCGTGTGCGTGACCGTGTGTGCATGGGTGCACGAGTGCACGGGTGAGTGGGGTGTGTGTGCGCGCGTGTGGATGTGTGTGTGGATGTGTGTGTGCGCGCTCTCCTGGTTATTATTTTTGGGGAAGGAAAATCTTGGCTATCTGGGGCAGGTTCCGGTGCTTCTGCGCTTGGTGTTTCTTCTTCTGCAAGAGAAGCTGACCAGACCACGCTGCTACAGACATTCCCCCCCCTCCACGACTCCAGAGAATTTTTCTCCCAGAACCAGGGGATTTTCTTCCCCTCCGAGCTCTGCAGCAGAGTGAGAGATTAGCCCCTAAACCTGTGAAAGCGACCTGAGCCGTGTGATCAGCGGGGACACAGAAAAGGAGGAATAAGCCCCCGCTGCCTGTCAGCGCCTCTGGCCACGTTGGAAGATGTCATCTCAAACTAAGTTCAAGAAAGACAAAGAGATCATTGCGGAATATGAGGCCCAGATAAAAGGTGAGCTTCGGGGGCTGGGGTGGGGGGCCCGGCCTCCTCTCCCCTTCCCTGCCTCGCCGGCTCCCTGCCTCCACCCCTTCCTCCCTGCCATCTCGAAATGTTGTTCTACATCAATAATCTTATTGTGTGCGGCGGGCGGCCGGGCCGCGCAAGCCCAGGCTGGCCTCAGCGGCTCGTCAGGGGCAGTCTCTGCATTGCAGGTGTGGGAGGACTGTCACTCGCCCGTGCTCGTGGGCCCCGGCGTGTCACTCCGAGGCCATTCTGATGGTGGCCACCCCGCCCCCACCGAGTGCCCCGTGACTCCGTGTGTCTGTTCCACGGCCCCAGCCCCCTCCCCGCTCGCCTTTCTCCCCTCGCTCCTCCGGCTGCTCTGCCACTTTTCTCTGGGCTGGACGTGGCATAGCCAAGGCCAGCAAGCAGGGCCGGGTGGGGGCGGGGGGTTGTGCTTCTTTGTGGCCTCTCCCGGCTGGCCTGGGTGGCCGTGGGTGAAACTTTCAGGGGAGGCACTGATGCACCCGGCTGCAGACGCCTTGCAGGAAGGGGGGCCGGGTGTGGGGCCCATCGTCTCCCCACGCGTGCAGCCCCCCAGCACGGCTGTGCACCGGCTCCCGGCGTCGCCAGCCTGCGTTCAGGCAGCAGTGTGGCGCTGCCTGGCTGTCCTGGTGCCCGTGGCAGCCTGCCAGGACCGGGAGATGTCCTTGTTTCAGCCCCGGGCCCCTGGAGGCCGCTCCCTCTGTCCGCCCTGGCAAGGTGAACCCGAAAAACGGATCCCAGGGAGCAGCCCCGTGCAGCCCGGTGCCCGCGCAGGCCGGCTGGCTCCTCCACCCTCGCCAGTGCCAGGGATGGGTCAGGAGGCCTGGAAGCGTTGCCCCCCTCCCCGCACCCCTCCCTGCCCGGGCCTCAGCGCCTCCCGGTTCCCTCCTGGTCATGGTTTTCCTGGCTGGGATTCGGGGAATGCTGGGATACCAAAGGGGACACTTCAGCCGCGTGGCCGCTGGCCTTGGCGCTTCCCCGAGGGCTGCAGGGCGCGTTGGCGACGGGGGCAGGTGGCGGGGGCTGTCACACCTGCATCCGGCGCTGCTGGACTGGGGTGTGGGGCGGGCGCGGGCGCCGGTACCGCCGCGGGAGCCTCTGGGCGGAGCATCCTCAGAGCCGCGTTCTGTGCGCGACTCCGCTGCTCCACAACCATCTTTTGCCTTTTAGTTCTGCTCTAGTCCTGCAGGCTGATCCCTTCGGGGTGGGACCCGGGGCCAGGCCCCAGCAGAAGGCGCCTCACTCCCGCCTCCCCTCTGGGGGCTCAGCTGCTAGCAGGGCGCTGGCCGGAGGGGAGCGAGCCTGGCCACAATGTGGGAGAGGCCAGAGATTCTTCGCTCATCTCCGATGCGTCCTCACAAAAGCCCAGTTTTTAGGATTTGCCGAAATCAGTTTTTTCAGAAATCAGAATCTTGATGTTTCAGAAGACAGACTCGGCTGTGATAATTTTTTAACTGAGAAAAAAAAGGGGGGGGGATCATGGAAAGATGGGGGTGAGTTTCCGACAGTTTGGGGCTTCGAAAAGCATCTTCCGGGTGGGAAATGCATCTTTCTGAAGGGAGGGCCAGCCCCGGCCAGCCATCAGTGCCCAGCAAACTCGACTCGGGGATCAATTAAGCATTTATTGCTCCGGCCGAGCCTTTTCCCCTCCCACCTGCATTTTAATAAGGAACGAATTTCCTGCTGAAAATTGTCCAAATGGTCCTGTCGCTCCCTCTCAGTGCTTCTGCTCTCCGGTTGGGAGCTGAATTTTATTTCTCGAGAGTGGATTTAGGTCAGGGCGATGCTGGGTCCCAAACCCTCTGGAATCTTTTATTGCAAAATCCGATTGATTCATCATTATCCTAATTAGGGAGATGTTGCAGGCTTACTGCGCCCCAGCCCCAGCCCTGGCTCCTGGGGGGCCCCGGGGGACACAGAAAGGGCTTGTCTGAGCTGGGGCTGCAGCGTCAGGCCTGGTGCTGAGCGGGCCGAGAGGTCACAGGGCTGGGGCGGGAGGGCCTGGGAGTGCCCCCTGCATTGTCTGCCAGCAGCTGCCCCTCGGAAGGCTTTCAGGAGCAGGTGACGGTTTGGTGCTGGGGTGGCCGCCTCAGAAAGCCCCATTGTTTGCCCTGAGAGTTATACTCTCCGCCTTTGTCGCTGTTCTCTGAACGTTTGACCAATCACCCCGCAGAGTGCCTGATGCCACTTATGTTCCTTCCATGGTAGCGGCTGGTCGATTGGCTGCTCACCCCCAAATCGGGCAGATTTTGTCCTTGGTGAATTTCGTGAGGGGAACTTTTGATTTTTTCCACGGTGATCCTGGGTGCTCGGTGGAGTTGTTCTTCAGATTCGCTTTTTGATCTCTTTTCTGAGTTTAGGGGCTTAACAAAGGGGAGTGCTTTGACACAGCCTTTAACGTATTTTTCTCTTGAAACCAATCTCAGATCCAGGCTTTTATCTATCTCATCAGCCTTTTGAATCTACTCAATCACTTCCCTTTTCGTCCCTGTTTTGTTTGGGGGCCACACCCTGCGGTACCCAGGCTATTCCTGACCCTGCTCCCAAGTGGCCCCTGGCGCTTTCACTGTTTAATGCCCAAGTACATAATTTCTCTGCACATTTCCAGGAAGGGGGGACGCATGCCCCCCAAAAGGCCCGCCCCTGTTATCTCTGTGGCGACTCTGTTAGAGCAAGGCGTGCCGGCTGCCTTTTGGGTGTTTGGAGCCGCGAGTTGTGCAGACTGGCCCTGGGCTCTCGGAGGATGGCTTTCTGCTGCTCGTCACCGTCACTGTCCCTGGCCTTTCGAGCTTCCGCTTCCTAGAGCGTGAGCTGCCAGGGCTCGGCAGCGGTGCTTGGCAGGCGGAATGAATGGGCAAGTGTGGCCAAGTGACAATCTGTGGCCACTGGCCTCCCCCCTTGGCACGGGCCGGGTAAGATGGAGTGGTCGTGGTTGGGGTGGATCTGAGGGTCCATGTCCTGTCCAAAGGGACAGTGTCTGCTGGGGTTCAACCATGTGTTACATTTAGTAATGGAGCTCCTGCCCAGATCTACCCCGTTTTCAACAGATGCCAGAGATCTTCAGGAGAACTTTCTGCTTTGAAATAGATTTTTACCAAGTGGACCTTCAGCAGGTCTTATTATCAATAACTTCCTATAGGAGTTATTATGGTTCAGATTAGCTAGACATGTTCTATTGCCTCCTTAATACTGTATGTAATGCTTCTGTTCATATTGCTCAAGGGTTCAATTAGCTTTCCTTGCACTGTAGGTATTCTTATTATTTTTAGATTGTTTGGTTTTGTCTTGTTTTGGGACCACACCCTGTGCTAGGGGTTATACCTAGCATGCCTTGGGGGGGTCACTCTCAGGAACACCCAGGGGACCGTGTGCTCTCAGGAATGGAACCAAGGGCTCCTACAGGCATACCCTCGCTCTTACGTCTGCTTTATTTCTCTAATCCACTAGGCTGGGAGCTGTGTGAGATCAAAGAAAAGAACATGACTTCAGATGGTTTGTTCTTGGTGACCCCAGTCTGGCTTCTGAGGGCCCTCACTTCCTCAGTGAGGTGGTCACTTATGTCCCTTTCATAATCTCTTCGAGAAACTTGCCTGAGAGTAATGCGACATTCTCTAATTTGGAACCAGCCAGCAAGAACTTCTTTCCCCTTGGGAAAACAGAATCAAACATTGGCCAGTGCCAGCTTTTTGTCCCCTGTCCTTCTCCTCGGGGCTCCCCTAAGAGCCCCGGGAGTGTTTGGTCATCTCGCTTGTGGTCATTCCCAGGGTCAGCCTGCTCTCACTCATCTTGCTGTCAGAATGGTCTGTTCTGCCTTGATTCAGTTCTCATTTCCACTTCAACATAATAGGAAACTGATATGGAACCAGAAGGTTTTTTTTTATTATTTTTAAATTATGCATCCATATTTATTTTAGGCTCTCTTCTTAATATTAATTTGGGAGGTGTGGAAAATATTGGAGATCACTGAGATTCATGAATTCAATCAACTTTGAGTATCTACTTGTTCTCAGTTGGGTGGTGGGTGTGGTAAGAGATACAGCACATGTGACACACTGCTTTTTTAGAGGTTTTCTGGAATATGGGGATAAAATCAGCAACAGATTTTTAATAAAAGAATAGAAAAAAAAGAGAGAGAAAAGCACAAAAAAAGGTTCCCAGCTGAACTCTTGTGTGAACACGGGCTTGGAGCTATTGAACCACAGTGACTGGAGGACCGCTTTGGTCTCAATCCATTCCAGCACGGTGATTGGAGGACTGCCTTGGTCTCAGAGCCATCCCGGCTCGGTGATTGGAGGACCGCCTTGGTCGTGAGCCATCCCAGCACAGTGATTGGAGGACAGCCTTGGTCGCGGAGCTACTGCGGCATGGTGATTGGAGGACCCCCGTTGTCTCGGAGCCATCCCGGCACGGTGATTGGAGGACTGCCTTGGTCTCAATGCATTCCAGCACGGTGATTGGAGGACTCCCTTGGTCTCAGAGCCATCCCGGCTCGGTGATTGGAGGACCGCCTTGGTCGTGAGCCATCCCAGCACAGTGATTGGAGGACAGCCTTGGTCTCGGAGCTACTGCAGCACGGTGATTGGAGGACCCCTGTTGTCTCGGAGTCATTTGGGCACGGTGATTGGAGGACCACCTTGGTCTCAGAGCCGTCCCGGCACGGTGATTGGAGGACCGCCTTGGTCTCAATCCATTCCAGCACGGTGATTGGAGGACTGCCTTCCTTGGTGCCTCCGCTAGGATTCAGCGAGGAGAGCGGTGGGGACCACGACAGACGTTCCTCAAAAGCGTTTCTCGACCTATTTTCAGCGTTGCTCCTTGCTGACCTCGGTTCCTTCCAGTGCCACCACCTCCATCCCGTGCTGTTGCCTCATCATGTGATTTTCTCCTGTGATTCCCGGAAGCGCTGCCTGCTGTAGGCGACCAGCGCCCCCCGACCCCCACCCCGTCAACCCATCACCCCGCAAAGG